TCAGTTTGCATAATTGCTCGCATTCATGATTGAACTTTATGATTTAAATTTGCACGTATATAGTGATGTACATATTATGAATGATCCAATTATTTTATATGATCCACTTTTTTATATTTTCAAATATCCCAATTTTTTTTTATTTTTAATAACAACTGTTACTGATGACTTTTACTAACGACTTATTTGTATCTAAATAATCATAAAAACTTGCCAACTATTTTTTTGTATTAATTTCTTTGTCATATAGACGAATTATTTTGGAAAAATTTTTCAATCCTTTGATTTTGAATCTATGGTAAAAAAAATTCGGTGCATTTAAAATTTTCAAATTAAAATATTTTTTTATTTTGCAAAAATTTACTTGTTGAAAAAAATAAAAAAAAATTCTACCTGAAACTTGACAGAAAATTCGCTTTTGTTACCTCTTGTGTACTAAATAATAAAAATTAAAGGAGATTGGTAAACCTAATATAATGTCAAATTAAAAAATAATGTTTAACGCTGACAAAAAGAAAGTAGAAATTAAATTTAAACTATTTTTGAAAATCTTGTTATACACTTTTTATAAAAAATTACATTTACTCAACATCTTTTGGCAAATAATTATATTTTACATTTTAATATTTACATTCTCTACTCTCAATTGTTTTGATATTCTGAAAAATCTTTTGTTATAAAATATAATTATTATAATAGAAAAATTTAATTTTCTTTTTTAAGGGCATTTGAACCATGATGACGTCACAGATTTAAAACTAATGCTTTGCACAAACTGTGACGTCATCAAGGTTCAAATCCCCTTAAAGAATAAAATTTGCCTTATACATACTTTTAATATTTATTCCCTTAACAATATTAAAAAAAGAAATAAAATTATAATTGTATGTGGTGAATAAATGTGTAAATGTTAAAAGAAATTATCTGACAAAAAATTTTTTGACTCAAATTCATTTTTTCTAAATAGTGAATAATTAGATTTCGTAAAATTAGTCGCAGCGACTTTGAAATTAATTTTTATTATTTTTCTTTTCGTTAACAATTTTTCAGTTTTGAATTTACATTCAGGTTAACCTCCACAATTTAATACATAATTAAATAGCAGTAAATAATTCGATAATAATAATAATAATTTGAAAATTATATAATTAACAATATAAATAAAAATATGAAGAATAATAATAGAAGTAACAACATGAATTATAATTTAATTAATAATATGATTAATAACAGAATTAATAATACTATTAATAATATAATTAATAAGAAGATTAATATTATAATTAAAAGTACGATTAACAATATCATTAATAATATGATTAATAATTAATTATCAGGTATTATTCGACTATTAGGCATACATTATCATATTGTCAACTATAAAATATTTACTATATATAGTCACAGAAATGCAGTTATCTTTCTCTTTGAATCTCTAATTAAACATCAAATCATAATTAAATAGATTATGAATTAATCATGAATTCGATATTTCATGCCATGAGTGAATAATTTTGACAGTCCCTGAGATGCAGAAAATTAGTCTTACTCTCGATGATTATCAAATAATAATCGCTACAGTACTCGAAATCATTACGTAGCAAACTTAGCTGAATTGATTTTTAACACAATTACAATAACCTTCTGTTTTCAATTATTGCAAATAATTCAAAACATAAAAAGACAAAAAATACTTTCTCATTTGTTAAGAATGCGCAATAATCTTTTTCGTAAAAAACTTTTTTTAATCTTCTTCTTAAAAAAAAACAAATAAAAAAAAAGAATAATCTATTTCCAAAAAGGTTATATTTTACATATTTATTATTTTTATTATTTTTATTATTTTTATTACTATTATTATTCAAAAAATAATATCTTTTTCTCCTAATCGTATTTCGTGTCCAAATGAATCCTAAGCGTATACTTATAGAATTAATCAAACTCGAGAAATGAAATTCAAACTTCGGCTGAATTAATAGAATATAATTTGACCAAATAATGATAATTACGATACTTTGCAATAATGTGAATAATTATTCACTCGGAAATAATAATACAGTGTTTATTTTAAAAAATTTCTCAAAGTGACCTAGCATTTACCTTTCTAAAATCAAATTAGAGAAAAGTCGTTCACTAATTTAAATATGAATTGAATTAAAATTTCAATTTGACTTAAATTTTAATTTAATTTAAATTTCACTTTAATTTAAATTTCAGATTAGTAAAATTTCTTACTAATTTTGAAAACAAAATTTACTATTATATTCTCTCTGAATCTAAATTAGTGGAAATTAAGGCCACTTTAATTAGAATTTTTACTAATTTTTCACTAAAACTTCAGTAAAAAATAATTGTAACTACTAAACAACATTGTAATATTCTACTAAAATTTTTGGTAGAAAACTATAAATTTTGTATAATTTTCTCTTATTACAATAAATTGTAGCTTTCTATCAAAATTTATAGTTTTCTACTATCAAAATTCAATAAAATCCTTACTATCTAATTAGTAAGCGAATTCGCACTTTATAGATTTAATTTCAGACTTTTCAGAAAAAACTTTTTGTTAATTCTTAGAAATAAATTTCTTAAACTCATTTTGTTTCATTTAAAATAAATTTTTCCTTACAATGTAAACAAACGGATTTTAATTTAAAGAAAATTTCTTTGATTCAAATAAATTTTCATTCAAACCAAGAAATTTATTCTTTAATTCATAGAAATTTTATCACTGATATAGTGCCCAAGAAATAATTCTTTAATTTAAAAAGGAAAATTTTCTTGAAACAACTAATTATTTTTTTAAAAGAAATAAATTCTTTATTAATCAAAGAAATTTCTTTTGAATTAAATAAATTTTTTTTTAATCAAAGAAATTTTCTTCAAAGAAAATTTTTTTGTTTCAAGAAAATTTCTTTTAAAAAAAATTTATTTTTCGAATCAAAGAAATTTTTGTTTACATCAAGGACAAATTAATTTCCAAACGAAGAAACAAATCAAAGCAACCGATTTTTTTTAAAGCAACAACAACTTTTCTGAGTGCATAAAATTATTACTAATGAAATTAATTACTGATAATTTAATTATTTCTTGCAATTTACTAATCCAACTCTCTAAATTTGAATTCTTAAAAATGTTTAATAATTTGAATTAGTAACTGACTTTTTTCTTTTGAATTAGTAAATTTTACGAATAAATAAATTAGTAGCAATTACTATTATTAGTAAAATGTACTAATTTAAAAGCAAAAATGCAGTTACTAATTTAAATTAGAAAACATTTTTACTAAATCATTTTACTAATAGCCAAAGAAAACCCAATATAATTTTTAAAAATTAACTGATAAATTTGTATCTTTGACGTTAAGTGACAAATTTTTGCACAACTGCTCGAATGAGTAACTTTTATTTTACTATTTGAATTAGTACTCTAAATCTAAAACAGTAATTTTTAAATTTTTTACTAATGAAGTAATGCCGATTCACTTACTAACTGAATTAGTAACAGTTTTGACTAATTTTTGGTAGTAAACTACTAACTTATAGAAGAAAATTACTAATTTTACTTATTTTGTTAATTCGACTTACTAACCAAGTAACTAAATTACAAAAGTAAAAATACAACTTACTAATGAATTTAGTTTTCTACCAACAATAAGTATAGTATTTTTTTATTAAAAATTAGTCAAAACTGTTGCTATTTCAGGTAGTAGACGAATTCGCAGTATTTCATTAGTAAAAAAAACTACTATTTCAGATTTAGAGAGTACATTTCTACTAATTATCAGGAACTTAATTGTGCCTATGGTAATTAGTACCACACTGTTAATATTATATTGATTAGTACAATACTGATGAGTACAATACTGATTAGTACAATACTGATTAGTTTAGTACTGATTATTATAATAATGATTAATATAATCACAGTTTTTCTGAAAATATACACTGTTAACTCAAAAGTATCAAATTGCAACGAATTGATACAAAAAATGCGAATCAAATCAGAAGTTAATCCGAATTTTAGGCATTAATTTGATTCACTTTAGTATCAATTTGATACTAACAAGAAAACTTTCAAATTGAGACAGAAAACGTATCAAAACGTTGCTTCGGAATACTTTTGATGCGTTTTTGATCTTAAATTGATACCCTTAGAAAAACTGTGATACTTATTAGTATGATACTGATTATTATAATTCTGATTAAATTGATACTGATTATTATACTTCCCCAGGTAGAAAAGTTAACGTTAGCTAATGCTACTAACGTTAGACTAACGTTAACTAACGTTAGGCTAACGACATTTTTTGATCACTAATATCATATTATAACGTTAGTCTAACGTTAGCCTAACGTTAGTAGCATTAGCTAACGTTAATTAACGTTATCTTTTCCACCTGGATCTGATTAGTATAATACTGATTAGTACAATACTAATTAGTTAAATTCCAATAAGTATAATATGAATCAGAGTAATATTAATTACCATCTGACTAATTCTGATAATCAGTTAAATTTTACAAACAAAAATGCAGAGAACACTCTTTGATTAGTAGAGAACTGGTAAATTACATTTAGAAGAGCAATTCAAAATAAGCTCAAATGCTAAATATAATGTTTAATCCATCTGTTTCTAAATTGACTACTACTGTAAAACAAAATAAAACGTTTCCAACACTCATCATAAACCACCAGTTGAGAAAACCGTATATTCAAATCATTATACAGAAATTAATGTTCAACTAGAAACAAAACCGCACCTTAGAAGCAAATCCCAGTGCAACAAAACACTTTTAAATATTTAATCAACATGAAATGATGTAGAATTTTTGTTACAAAACTCTCTATAGTCCCTAACCTGATTATATCAAGGATACACATGTCTACTAGAGCGGATAGTTTAATTTACCCGCTTGACTAAATTATGTTGCTACTGTATCTACATGTATGATGAGGTATAGGATGAGCTTGTCTCTCCCGGAAATGACTCGAGCCTACCTGACTGGCTATTCAGCACGAATTTTCGTCGAATGAAACAGCATATACATGTATCTCTCTCTCGCGAAAGAGAGAGAGAGGGGGGGGGATGAACACCGCACTTTCCTAAAACTTGTTGAACTCTCGCTTGGCAAGCGAAATCCAATTTTGCTCACTTTAAGTATTCGTTTTGCGGAGAGAGAAAGAGAAGAGATCCTCGAAAAAAAAAGCGGAGAACGAAAAGCAACTCACGACGAAAAGGGGATTTTTTCCGGATGGTTTGGCTTTTCTATTCGCACTGGCCAAAAAAAGTCTTTCCGCGTGTTGATATAACAACAGGTCAATGGGGCGATATTGAAGATCTCGTGGTTGTGAAACTGGATCGATAGATCACTAACACTCGAGGGACACTGGGGTCCGAGGACCTTTGTAACTTGTACATACTCTCTCTCTCCCTCTCCCTTTTCTCTTCCTCTTCTTCTTGAAACTTCCAACTCACATAAAACGTCCTTTACGGTTTGTGGCACACTGCCAACTATTGGCCATCGTTCGTCTCACGAACAACTTGATCTTGATCTTTCCACATCTATTTTTCTCCAATTTCTCTCTCTCTAGTGTGTGGAAAAAAAAGTTGTCAAGATAGGTGACAACTTATAGGTGTGATGAATACTGAATGTATGATGAATACTTGATTAACTTGATTAACTTGATTTACTTGATTAACTTGATGAATTTTAAGAGATATTTTCGTGTATTCTTAGAATATGTCGCATATCTCTAAGGAATTAATTGTAAAACTTTTTTTTTCCGGTTACGGAGACAAACAACATTTCCGGGCGTCCCGGCAGAGCAGAGGGTATATATACACACACTACACCGCGCGCACCCGTTAGCAAGGGAGAAATATATATATATATATATATGTATGTATACAGAGAGAGAAAGAGAGAAACCAGGCGTAGCGCTCTCGCACAGTTCGTCTCGTGCGATGGTTTGCAACGGAACTGAATCCGAGCTACTGATGATGATTTTTGTTGCTGATATAGGGGAACGCGCGAGACTCGCAGCAGCACCTGCGATATAGAGCTCCTCTCGGGGGTTCCTCCTACCATCCCTCTACAATTTCGCGAGAAGCTGCGAACTGGACCACTACGCAACCCCCACTCTAACTCTCCTCCATTCGAAGTCCACCCACTCCCCACAGATCAATATTGTACCCACGGTACGGGAGTCTACCTCCGACCTCGTGCTAAGACCGTAGCATAGCCACCATAGCGAATATCAACTTGTCTGTCACTCCTATTACAAACGGCCATGAACCAACAATTTTCATTCGAAAGTTCAATACATTTTTTTTCTCTCTCTCTTTCATTCCTTTTTCCCTATTGAGGAAAAAATTAACTATCATCAATGTTGAATTGAATCTTTTACCTATTCTTTTCCTCCATAAAATACAACCACTCTCACTATTATTAAATTCATATGGGGGATTTCTAGCCGGTTCCAGATTTTAGCTGCGAGAGAGAGCTGTGTGTGCTGCCTGCCTATTTTCGCTGACCCATATTCCAGGAAAACAAGCTTTTGATAAGCCAGCTTACAATTAGCACAATAATGTTCAAATTTCTCAAAATTTACATTTTCATGCCCTGAAATTGCTTTTGTTGGTGAAAAAAAGATAAATTGATAGGGAATAAAGAAGAAATTATACAGGGTTTTAAATATAATGATAGAAACAAAAGAGAATAGAATAGTATCTGGAATCAAAGTCGTGCATCGAGTTCATTTTTTTTGCCAAGTGATTATTAATTTTTGCTGCTGGTTGTAAATTATACTCGTAAGAATATTCTGGGTATTTAGGACTCATTAGCGGCACACTGTTAATGAGGAATTTTACTCTCCCAAAACGGTTACTCTTCCTATCTCTCTCTCTCAGCAATTAGTAATAGTTTTGGACATTTCAAGAATTAAGGGGCATTAAATTTCATAATGACTTAAGATGCTTATGTACTATTATAAAAATTATTCTTTCTATTAACGAAATAATTATTTCAATTAGTATTCTTTTAAATCCCTATGAGTTTTATTTTTACAAATTAAACATAAATTTATTTTATCAAAGTAAGAGCCAGTTTCACCAACTTCCGATTAAAAGTTAATCAATGATTAAAGACAGTTTAAAGGCTTCTGATTGGTTAATTGAGGATTTAATCATTGATTAACTTTTAATCGGTGTTGGTGAAATCGGCCCTTAGAATTTTTGCCACGAAAATTTGATATTTCCCCTGAAATTTACCTAATTTCCAGAGAAAATAATCACATTTTCGCTGATTTCTATATAAAAAAAATTATTTTTAATAGAATTTTAGGAAATTTCAATTATTTCAAAAATCTTTAATTACACAGAGAAATAGAATTGTTAAAATAGAACTAACTAACTAAAGAAATTTTCCTTTTGTTCTTGTTACAAAATATTTTGTTACCCAAACATATTTATTGTTATCACAAAAAATTCGACTTGTTAGGACAACGAAGTAAATTTTTTACTTCTAGATTAATATTAACAATCGAAAAATAAAGTTAATAATTAATATACAACTAAAAAATTTATTTTCTTATCCTAACAATTCAAATTTTTTAGTTCTATATTAAATATTAACAATCGAAAAACAATCAAGTTAATAAGAAACTAAAAATTTATTCTCTAGTCCTAACAATTTAAATTTGTTATGATAACAAACAAATAAATATGTTTAAGCAACAAAATATTTTTTAATAACAACAGAAATTTGTTAGTTCCATTTTAACTTTTTTTTATTCTGTGTGTAATTAAAAATTTTTGAAATAATTGAAATTGCCTTAAATTTTATTAAAAATAATATTGAACTTTTTATAAAAATTTCGCTGAAATTTTTTAAAATAATCGATTTTGCCAAAATAATAATCTCTTTTCTACATGTATTTGTTAATAAAAATTCACCTATCTTTAAACAATAGAATAAAAATATTTTAAAAACTTAATTTTTAAGAATTTTGAATAAAAATTTTCAAAATATATTGATATTTTGAAAAGTTTTTTTAATTCTGAAAATTGCAACTGCTTTTAACAAAAATATTCTCTAGGTTAATTATAATTTCTGTAGGTAGTAATTCTAAAAATTTAATATTTTTCCAGTATATTTGATAAAATTCCCTCATTTTTATTAGTATCAAAATAATTTTTGTTTGCATCAAATAATTTTTATTCGTATAAAATTTTCACTCATTTTCTGAACGTTCAAATAAACGAAACTTTTCTTCTATTTAAGTATTCTTAAAAATTAATACACAAAAATAATTTTGACTTAAAAATTATTTATTATCATTAAATTATAGTAATAATAATAATAAAAATTTTTAAGATGTAATGAAATGTTACTCACTTTTTTTGTATTTGGCAGAACTACAAGAGATCCTTCAATTATTCTCCAATCGAGTTTTCTGCAAAAAAGTGCTGTTTGTCCAGTGAACTCAAACCTTCCCATGGTGCTTCTGGAAAATAAATAAACAATAATTTTAATAACATACAACAAATTAATAACAATATTAAATAATAATAAGATCAAAAAATTAATCTAAGAAGAAAAAGAATAAAAGAAAAAACAAAAAAATCTTTTAATTTTTACTTATTTCAATATTATAAAATTTGAAGTCATGGAAAGCAATAATTCAACAGATTTTTGTTCCAAAAATATGTTAAATTTTTAAAGAAAACATCCCTTGTTTTATCAACTTCCATTTGTAGTAGCGTTTCTCAAGATTCTTCATCTATTTTTTTTCTCTATCCCACTTTTCAAGCTCTAATTAAAATATTTATAGAATAATGTGTTCATTCTAAGGAGAAAAGTTCATCTAAAGTGGAAAATTTCTTAGTTGAAGGAGAAAAGAGGCTTTAGAATAAATTGCTAAAAATGCGACGTTGGAGAGACAAAAATATATTGGATTTGTTATCTGGAGCACTAGGGTGGCCTAAAATAATAAAATGTTAGTCCTGATTACCTCGGGTTTATTTTCTCATTCCTCTCTATCATTCTTAGCTCGACCATCAAAATATTTTAGAAATCTTTCCTTTCTTTCTTATTCTCTCCAGATAAAACAAGAGATATTCTTTTATTATATTGCGTGTGTGTATTAATTAGAAAATTATAGAAAATTATTGTCAAAATAAAATTTTTTTCTCATATTTACAAAAAAGGGAAAAATCCATTAATACTTTATTTTCTAAAAATCTCTTAAATAATCAAAGAGAGGGTATTAACTATTGTTTTTCATCAAGTCTTTAAGGACCATTGTCACTTTAATAAAGTTATCAACGCTTTTCATTAAGAAAAAAAAAAGAAAATTTTATCTGGAGAGAAATTTAAAAAAAAATGTAACCACATTTCTGTTTTAACTGTATTTTATAGAAGCAAATTCCCTGCTTTATTCTAATTTTTCAAATTAAAAACCACAATTCTTTAAAAAAAAGTGGTCACCAAAAATGTTCATATGTGAAACACACAAAATTTTCTTTGCATTTTTAAAATGAACCTTCGCAACAGGATTTTATCTTCTAGAGATGAAAATGTAAAAATTAAAAGAGAAAACATCAAAACACACATTTTCAGGGAGTCATGAAATTCTATTTCCTATTTTCCATGAATTTCACAGACCAATTGATCGAAATTATATTCTTTCTTCAAATTTAATCAGCTTCAAATTACATACAAAATCGATATTTCACTAAAACAGAAACTCCATTGCCACTATATGAATAATTCTTGTTCAAATCTAACTATAATGTGAACTCAAATGACATGAAAGGGAGAGAGTTGAGAGAGAGAGAGAGAGAGAGAAAAGCTACATATGAATGTTCAACTCAATTCAACCGCCAAATTCTTCGATGTGCTTTGATTAATTTAGCAGCATTAGAAAATTAATTAAATCCTAAATTATCCTATAATATTAAAAAAAACATTAATAATAATTACAAATTAGTAATTATTAATTATGATTACTACTTAATAATTATTAAATAATATCTAGTTAATACTGAATAATATCTTCGCTATTAGTATCTAATAATATTTCCATTAAAGCAACTATTATTTCTATAAAAGATTAATTTCTATTACCGAGAGCGGAGCAAATATTACGTGAAGAGTATTTTTAAACCTTTTTAAAGCTCAAAATTGTTGTAACAGTAATTAATAACAATTATAGTCGAATAAAAATTTTTAATTTTACTATTAAAATCGTATCTTAATCGCAAAGAAGTTGTTTGTCTGATTTTCTCTTCTTTTACTTTTATACTACTTATAGAAGACTGTTCTAGTCAGGCAAAATGGTTTATTTTTATACTATCATAATATCAGTAGTAGAAGCAATTTTTAGTCAGACATTGATTGTTTGTGGTTTTTAATAACAGTTTTAAAAGACATTTTTTATAAATATTTCAGAAAATTTTTTTCTTTATCAAAAACAATTTAAATATAGAATGTCTGACGTAAGACTGTTTATACTACTGACATGACGATTACGTGAAATTGAAACATTGTCTTAACTCTAAAAATATTTTCTTTACTATCATGAAAAGGGAGACAATAAGTTTTGCATACCAACTTTTGTCACATCCATCTCTTTTATTCAGTAGTAAAAGACATTTTCAGATAAACAACGATTCTATTGTGAAAAAAATTAGCCAGACAGAATAATATTATTTAGATGAATGTTTTTTTTGTGGTATTTTTTAATATATTAATAAAAAGAACTTTTAGGACAATTTCCATTACTACAATTGTTATTTTATTTTTGATAAAACAACGTTTCGGTTTATTTTATAATATCATAATATAAGTAGTAAAAATCAATTTTCAGTCAGACAAAATAGTTAAATTCTATGTTATTTGCAATATTAGTAGTAAACACAGTTTTTTGTCAGACATTAAATGTTTGTATCTTTAGTAACAGTTGTAGAAGACTCTTTTAATAAATAATTTAGAAACTGTCTTTATTTATCCAAAAAA